GAAAGAAAGAAAGAAAGAAAGAAAGAAAGAAAGAAAGAAAGAAAGAAAGAAAGAAAGAAAGAAAGAAAGAAAGATTTATTTAAACTAGGACCATGGATGAGAAAAGGAACCTGGCAAGCAATGGCGGTGAGTTCTGAGCGTCCCTCTGGGGTTCCCATGCTCCCGCACATGCATCAACTGGTTCAAAATGAGCCCTTATTGTAGCCATTTCTTGTATATGACTAGAGGGTTGTTCTCAACATTTTCTGTCAATTTTTCACTTTTCCAGGTCCCTTTTTAAAAATCACTGCTGCTAAATTTACATTCCTAAATTTTTCTTTCTGTTTTCTTTCTCCCACTGCACAACAAACAGCACCCCTGGAGGGTGCCTAAGAAAGTTGAAGAGGTGAACGATTAGAGTTTGGAGTGACTTGCTAAGGCAGTCATCTGGCTTGCCATCAAATGCCTCATTTTGGTAGGGAAAAAAAAGAAAGAAAAAGAAAAACACTATTAGAAGAAAAAAGCAAAACCAAAGTATCATTCTAACCTGCTCGTGCCGCTGCCATCTTCTTGTTTCGCATTTTATTCTCCAGAGCTTGCTATACAAGGAAAAAATGAAAACAAATATTAGATTTTCTGTTGTTTACATAACTTGACATAGAGCAAGACCGTAGTTCTACAAAATCAATTGTATCCTACCATTTTCATCTTCTTTTTGAGATCCAGATTTGCTGCCTTCTGGCCCTTGGCTGTAGCGTTGAGATAATAGATGGTCAAGCTAAATACAAAAAATAATAAAATTGATGGCACTTTGAAGTTTCTCAACATTCTTCTTGCACTTACACTAACTATATCGTGGAATAGTAACCTGAGAGTGGTCATTAAGATACATTTTACTCAATACTTCTCCTGCAGTCCAAAGCTGAAGTCTAAAGAGGTAAAAAGCTGTACTGAGTTATACAAAACTAGGATAAAGCTGGAAAGGGGAGCCAAAGGCTTTTTCTCCACAGCTTAGAGCTCTAGTTACTGCTTCACACTTCCTCAATAAGCTCCTTCCTGGAAATGTATTCAAATCAGCTTAAATTATATTTAAAAGCAGGATTTTATTTATTTATTTATTTATTTATTTATTTATTTTTATGTATTTGGCACAGCATCTACAGAGTCTCACTACACAGTTCGGACTCATACTGATTCTCCTGTTTTCAGCCTCCCAAGCGCTGGGATGACAGATGCACATCACCACTCCCAGTCTCAATCTCCATCTCATCTCAGGGTACCCTGGGGGCAAGGCTAGCACTGCACGCTAGGGATTGAACCCCAGTCTCTATGCTCTGCCTAAGCAGACTCTTTAGTCCACTGAGCTATCTGGCTGGCCCTTAAAAATAACATTTTAGATTAATGGCAATGACACCCAAGAGGATGGAAAGCCTACAGAAGGATGAGGAATATGAAGAATCAAATGAAAAATTACTTTCTGGTTCCTTAGGCCTCTACAACTAAGAATACAATCTTCATGGGCACTGTTAATTACCAAGAAGGTTTACTTCTTTTCATAAAATCTATTGCTCTCATTTCTCCTTTCTTCCAGAAGAAAATGTTTTATAAAGGTATAATTTTGCATTTTAAGTGACATTTATATTTATAGGAAGAACAAAATCCAAACCAATTATTCTACAAAAATAATTGCTACTCTTCTGCTAAGGCAAAGTACACAAAGGATTAAAAAAAATTAGCAGAATAAAGAGAGAAAACTTTCAGTAAAAAATGTGACTGATACTGTTCTTTGTTGCAAATAAGCAGATATCGAACACAAATCCTCCACTCGCTAATGGGCCAGATCGTGTCCCTTATGAGGCGTCTCATGCTTGCAACACAATTACCGTGATAGCTTAGCTGGGTCTGTTTATCTCTTATATGGTTAACCAGAGTTTTACTGCAATTACACCCACGAGAGTGTTGGGGATAATATTTGGCATGAAATAAGTGTTCAGTAATGTGTGTGTACAGTTGTGTACATATAAGAATTTTCTTGGAAAAATTCCTGGACTTAGAAGGCTGAAATCAAAGATCTCCCAGAGTCATTTCCACCTCTGAAATGCTCTGTTCATCCATCACTCACTTTGTGCCCCAGGAAGCACCCTCAGTAAGTTTTTCTCAGGGATCATCCTCGTCTCCAACGGAATGGCACTGCCTACAGAGCACCGACCCGAATTCTACTCAGATACCCTAAACCTATCCACACAGGTTTAATATGGTCCCCTGGGGAAATTCAACTGCTTGTAACATTCTCTAATTAAAGGCAATAAAAAGCCAAGCCAAGTGTATGTACAGGCTTCATAAAGTGGAAGATGAGACCTGAGGATTTGAAAAAATTCAAATCAGTAATAAACTGAAATTTGAATTTTATGTCAAAACCTCAGAGCTAAAATCAATCTTTCTGAATGTCTGTTTGGCCCTTACATGCTGCCAGCTCTCCTCTGGGGGATCCAGATTGTGTGTTATCAAACTATGTCCTCCAGATTCGATTCATTTCCCAGACTGTTTTGTGTGGCTAATGAACTCACAGTGGATTTCTACAGTTTCAAATGTTTATATAAGCATTTATGTAAAACCTTACATTTGGACTCTTGGACTGCAATCTCTACTATATCAGGCTCCTAAGAAAAACACGTCCTGGGCCTACCTATTTCTCTAAGGTGGCCCACTCCTTCTTACACTCCCACAGATCCCAAACTCATGGGACCAACGAATGGAAGACCTCAGAAGCAGGGGTAGAAAGACATCAATTTGAACACCACTTATTAGCCACTTGATTTGGGACAGACCTTCCTTGTGGTGTTGGTAATATGATTAACGAAGCCAACTTCTTGAAGTTATTGTGGTAGTAAAGGTGTCCATGGGTGGTTAGTATCTGCAACAATAATACATTCATTCCCTCCCCATATTCTGGACACCGTGTAGAATGTACTAAACAAGTGGACCCAAAAGACTTTGCTCCTTTCTTAAAAACACATCTCTCTCTCTCAATAGATTTTGGATATTGTATTTCAATTAGACCTTTAAATTCCATGTTTGTATCTGTGTGTGTGCATGTGTGTGTTTTAATTATGATCTCCTGTAGGATAGTTTCTGGGTTGCCTATCGAAGCCCACAGGATAGTGATCAGTATGCTTTCTGAAGCCACTGGATAAGGAAAAACGTGGAGAAGAAAATCTCCTGAAGAGCCATCTGGTGAAACGAGCTGTGTCCAGTGGGCTATTTTCTAACACACCCGTGCCAAAGATTTACTGTTGGATTCTTATGCTACCCCATGAGCAAGGCCCAGTAATGCATAATAGTAATCTGCCGCGCTGTGCAGTCAGCCCGTGGGCTACTCCCTCCTTCACAGAGGGTTTCACATTGTACAGCAGTGAGCTCTGGATTTCCTGGCAAGTGATTTGCTTTCAGTCCTGCTATTACTGGGTTACAACCTTTCTGTCTTAGAGAAGATCATACTTCTAAGTTGTTTCTCATTTATAAAATTGAAGAATACATCTCCTGCCCTCACCACTCTGTGACTTAGAATCATGACAGTGCCTGGGTCAATAAAGACAACATCTAGTTCTGAATCCCAGCTTGTGTATTTCACACCAGTGCTATTTCCTTCCTCAGACTTCCTCATCTTATGTTTATTGAAACAAGTCTAGCCTTTGGCATCACTTTGGTCCTAACTGGTCCCTGCAGGTGGCTTATTATCTGCCTTCCACAGCTGACAGATTTCCTATTTGGAGAGCCTAGGGGACAGGGGATCAAGAAAGTCTGCTTGGCTGCTTCATAGAAAGCATGCCTTTCTACTTAGAATATGAATTTATCTTCTGTGGTTAAGAATCAAAACTCAGTGGAAGTTATATGGGAATGAAAGAACCGACCAACTTTTCTCTTGGAAAACATTTCTGATGACTAAAAGTATCTAAAGACTAAAAGTATCTTTCCAAGGCCCTCCAGCACTCTGATTTTCCTAGGACGTAACACAGTGGCAGCCTTCTAAAAATAAGGACAGCATAATTCCTAAGAGCCCTTTCAGGTGTGTCCAAGCTACAGGCACTTTGGTAGACATTGACAGTTCTGAATTTTATATTAGGCCCACGACAATTCCTTTCCACTCAATGCAGCCCAAGGCAATCCAGAGCTGTCCTGTCCACAGGCCACCAAGTGGATGCACCTATAAGCATTTAACCTTAAAGTGTAGCCTACAAGGCATCCACAGGAGCATTACTGTAGAGACTCATTATTCCTCTATGTTCACAGCCATCTGCTTCATGGAGCAAGAGGTGGGGGCCGAGATGTGGAGCAGAGCTCAGTGTGCTGATTAGAGCTGGCATTTATGTTCCCCTTGCTTTAGCTGTTTACTGATAATTATTTTGGTTACTTGGGAACAAATCTTATAATCCTGGAAAAGCAAGACAGATGCAGATGGCTGTGAATTCCATCCAATAGGATCAGAATATGGCTCATGAATTGCAGCTCTCGCCACCATGTAATCAGAGCTGTATTTGGTTAGGTTACAGCACAACCCGGGGTGGGGGTGGAGGGGTGGGAGGGAGAGAGCTGAAAGGCTGGAACCTCAAAGGAGCCAAGAAGCAAATTACGAGGGCTCCTTCCATGAGAAGGAGAGGCACGTACGCCATCACCAGAACGACTGCAATGACCAGGCCAGGGTTAGAGAGCTGCCGCAAAATCTTCGCCATCCAGCTTGGGAAATCATTCTCCAGAGTCTCACCGATGACTTCAAACATCCTGTTTTTGCCACTGGGAGGGGAAGAAAAAAGAGAGAAAAGATATAGATAGATAGATAGATAGATAGATAGATAGATAGATAGATAGATGTATATCAAATAGAATATTCTGGTTACAGCAAGAAATATATAATACTGTCTAGCTATTCCCACAAATTAGGAACCTGATGTTTAGCTGTCTCCTGATACTTTAAACCTGTCCTGCTGTCCACGTGTGAATATTGTGAGTACAGGACTGTATGAGAAACGTTATCCCAGCACACACATACATACACACACACACACACACACACACACACACACACAGAGCCAATGGAGTTAGGAAATTAACCACAGGATTAGAAGAAGCTTCTAACTGTGGAGTTCTGAGATTTCAATTGAAATGTAGTTGGTAAGTTGCTCCTAC